AATTTGAGACTTTTGTGAAATGAGTTCTAACGTGAATGATATTTATCAGATAAGGATCTCTGTACCTTTTGAGCCAAAACGAGAGAGGATGCTTCGTGGGCTGCGTGAACCTGAACGACGTTGTAAAGTCGTCTGGCTGCAGAACAATTTTATTTAATTGTTGTCTTCTGGTTAGATCTACCTACGGATCACTTCATCGTGAACATTCACACAAAATTAAAGTCTTTAAAGTAATGATATCTCAAAAATTCATTGTAGCACATATATGTCGAAATTTCTGATAATTTTACCAAGATCAATAGGATTGTCCCGCAGGACTTCATATTAAAATCAAACGAGTTTATTTCATATGGAGTTCGCTCTTAACTATTAATGCGATCAATCTTAAATCTTAAATCAAGTACTTTCAAAAGAAAAGGAATGCAATTAAACTAGCCAGCTAATTTATTCTAAACAAGTAGAGGCACAGGTCTGAAAAGAATATAAATCCCGTATAGACAAAATATGAAAATTAAATATGCATACTTAAAATTTCGTATTTTAATTACATTATCTACATTACTAACCGACTATGTAAACTAGATCAATTTTCTCTAGTAGTTAATATTCTTAATTTAAATATGCAAAAGGACGAAATTGAGGTATAAACATATGCTTGTCTAACTCTAATATATTTTTAGAGTAGTCTAACCCATGCCGTTATGACTTTAAAAGTGCAATTTTTTCAATAAAATGTTAAGGAATTAGGGAAATAAAAACTAATAAATGAACGATAAATGAAGCATACCTATTTTACTTTTAAAATAAAGCTATTCCTTTATTATTTAAAAATATCATCTCAAGTTATAGTTATAGTATTGAATTTTTACCGAATCCCTTTTGCTTTCGATTCCTGTCAACATATTTTATTAAATTAGACAATAACATTTATTAGATTTAGCTAAAAAAATTATTTGTTGTATCTTATGCAGACTTTAAATGTTTCCCCCTCCTACATTGCGGCAGCTTTGCACGGGTACGTGTTATTCTTCCATCCATGCGTGCTAAGTGGCGCAAGAAAAGAATGCGGAGGCTTAAGCGCAAAAGAAGGAAAATGAGAGAACGCAGCAAATAAACTTGTATTCGTTTTGTAAATAAATTTTTTGTCACTTCTTTGGCTTCTGCAGCTTGTTATCTTGTCAAACCTTATCACTTTTCCTATTTTAGCGGATACATTATGCGGGCTAAATGGCGTAAAAAGCGAATGCGAAGATTAAAGAGGAAAAGAAGGAAGATGAGGGAGAGGAGCAAGTGATTTTCTTACTTTAAATAAAGGATGCTCATACAACTCGCCTTTGCTTCTTACTTTTTGTACCCCTACCTCTAGTAACTCGTTGAGTTTTTAGGACTCAGATGCTGTTGGTGACGCGGAGAGCGACGGTTCCGTTTATTTGGATGAAGAGGATCTTGAGTTAGTAGACGATAGCCCATTATCTCACGATAGTGAAGGTTCATATCTTACTATTGAACTAACCCCTTTTAGATGACGTTGAATGCGTCCGCCCCTTGGATGTTTTTCATCCCCCTTGTGATGATTCCGTAGCTATCTTAAAAGGTCACCAGGGTAAGAAAATCAGGAGATTTCTGTAGGCTCCGTAATCTTTATAAGGCGATTGCGCCCTGTCTGCCCTAGAGTCGTGGTTATTCTCCACCGATGCCTCCTGACAAATTAAATATTTTACTCAATGTTGAGTTTCGCGTTAGATCCGGCCGCCTTAATATACTAGTATGAGCCCTTTTCGCCATGTACCCTTGAGTACCCCCTCGTTCCCTAGTTAATTGCCCTGTCTGTGCTGTATTAAGCCTAATCCCCGCACCATTGTCTATTTGTGTTCACATTGCGTGTATCTAGCTTTTCATTGTACGCCATGGTGCGGCGCCGCAGGTAGTCTTCTGAGTTATTGTTCTATTCCTATTTGTATGTAATTGAGGGCAACATAGAAGCCATAATGAATACAAAAAATAGATATGAAGAAAGCCCTCAATAAGATACAAAGCGAGGGTGACGCTAGGCACCGGTTCGCTTGGGTCGTTACCATGGGGTGACCTGTGGATGTGATGAGATAATAAAGAATGTGCTCTTTTTAATAACTACCTTTCTACGAGATGTGGAAGCTTGGTCTGGGCTCCAGGTTGGGCTTCGGCTCCTCATTTTTATGCGAAATGTGGGTATCATTTTCATTATTCATAGCATATGGTTGCCCGGCGTGATTCGGGGCCACCGCTGGCGACCTTTTGGAGAACAATAGTCAGGTACAGGCGATCTCAATTGTCTATAAGGTAACTCCTCTCAGTTGGCTTCTGCTTATTTGCGTTCGAATTTCCATTACAATCATTTCTGTTGTGGACATGTTATTATTTGGGTTGGGCCAAGTTTTTATTTGAGGTTAACTATCAATGCTCTTCTTGATGAAACTTGATTTCTTGAATTCTGTACTTAATATTACCGTGGGTTCCTTGAGAGCCTTCTGCGTTGGGAGGGTTTTTACCGTAGAAATCTAGAGACTGGTCTGCTCGAATGATTGCCAGAGCTCTAATTTTTTTACCTTGATTTTGATACTCGCTAACGAGGTCCGTAGATATCGAGCTCGACGTGGTTGGTCGCCCTGTATAACTGGCCTGATCTCGTTTCCGCAAATCGGGACGAGCCACAGCATAATTTAAAGAGGTGTTTGATCGTTCTTTGCTATTTTCGCAATTTCTACCATCAGACCGCTTGCTTATATTGCCGGCTGACGGTACTTTCCTACCCATGGACCGTCATTTACATATTGCAATAGAGGCAGTGAGACACGAGGCTATGATGTGGGCGAATGTACCATAATGACGCGTACTTTATTTGGTAGGTTGCTCGAGGTATCTAATTAATTTGCCATTAGCGCTTTTTGTTGAAATTTGGGAATATATCAAGCTGTTTAATGCAAGGCAATGGCTACTACTCGTGGATGCCTACTTTAGGGCATCTGTCGCTCCGACTGGATAGCAAAAGTGGAATCAAACTAATTCTGTTAAGTGATATGCATTT